TATATATATGTACATATATGTATCATGTATGTATGAGTATGCACATAACACATGTATATATATATATATGTATAGAGATGCATACACATTACAGCATGTGTTTGTTTTTAGTTGGTACCCTCGGAAGAAGGGGACATCAGACAGAACTACCTATCCGGTAGTCCATGCGTCACTAGGGAGGGTTAACCATTCGGGGCCAACACCCGAATTGTCCATATCTTCTCTGACAACGCTTATTTGATCACGGCTCATGCGAGAGTTGTTCAAATTGTTTTCTAAACCCTTTTGTGGTTCCTGTCCGCGTGGTTTGGCTTTCTGGGTGATGTGTTCCTTTTAAACAATTTTCCCTTGCATGAGATGATGCCGAGCCATGTTTTTGAGGGTGCCTTTTTTTGGGCAGTCATCTTAAAGGGATACCTAATAGGAATCGAGTCCCCGTATGAGACACCCATGTGGGTGGTTTTTGGGTTGTTTTCAAAAAGCCACCCCCCCACCAAAAAGAAGAACAGCGGAAAAGACCCAAACAAAACAAACACAAGAAGGAGAAGAAGCGTTGCAGTCCCCTCAGGGTTTTGGGAACAGCCATGCTTTGATTCCATGAGCCCACGAGCCTCCCAGTTTGCCATCTGCTTTTGGTTTTTCAAATTCGGCTCGTGGGTCCATGTCCAAAAGCCGGAGTCGTTCCGAATCCACTCCGGGTTCCAGAGAGCCTGTGAAGTGGATGCTCGACTTGGGGTGGGGTGGGTGGGGGCGCGTTTTTTTTTGGGCGACCCGGTTCACTTGCCTCGTTTGAGTGGGCCCCAAGTGGACCTTGATGGATTCTCGATGTATTTGCGAGGAAAATCATCGCGACCTCTGCGAGTGCAGTGAAAATTTGCAGGATTGCGCACAGCTTGCTGGAGCAAAGGAAACTGCATTCACGACATTGCGACAGACCCCCTGCCATATGGTTTGGGTTGGGCTTTCAATGGGCGCCTTCTTTTCCCAAGGTTTGCAGCCCCCAAGCCGCCCAGGGGGTTAGGGATGGCTATATGAGCATGGGATGGCTACTCGAAAGCCTCAGATTTCTGGGGGCCCAAAGGCTGGAAGAGATGGTTTTGCTTTGGTTTGCGGGGAAAACCCGCAGGTTCCGTGCAACACAAGAACAGCCTGCAAGACCCCGAAAAAGCGCCGCTAGGGGGCGGGGATCGGGGTCTGTTTCGGGAAGCCGTGTGCGTCTTGCGTCTGAGGTATCCGGGCCGAGGAAGTGGGGCCCCGCCGGCTACAACCAGCCCGGCGGCAATCAGGCACCCCAGGCAAATGCCGACAGGGGGGTCGGGGAAGGAGTTTAATCTTTTCTTTTTTCCCTCGTGTGTTTTGCGCGCGCGCACGGGTGTGTGTGTGTGTGTGTGTGTGTGTGTGTGTGTGTGTGTGTGGGTGGGTGGGTGGGTGGGTGGGTGTGCGCGTGCGTGCGTGCGTGCGTGCGCGTGCGTGCGTGAGGTGCGTGCGTGCGTGCGTGCGTGGGTGGGTGGGTGGGTGTGGGTGGGTGGGTGGGTGTGCGTGTGCGCGTGCGCTCACGTGCGTGCGTGCGTGCGTGCGTGGGTGGGTGGGTGGGTGGGTGGGTGGGTGTGTGTGTGTGTGTGTGTGTGTGTGTGTGTGTGTGTGTGTGTGTGTGTGTGTGCTCCACACCTTTCCGAAGATTCGAATATGAAGTTCACATATATATATATATATATAACATAAGATATATATGTACGAATTCTCCCAAACAGTAACAGCTTCGAGCATCCCTCGAATTTCTTTGGCCGACGGGCTTTTGTCTCCCCCAACCAACATGGAAGTGCAGGTACAGTCATGGAAGACTACTGCAAAGGTACCCACTTCCATTAGAAAGAGGGTACCGCTCAGAACCAAAAGACACCATCTGCTTGGTGCAGGCGCCTCCTCCAGTGGAGAAGCCGCCTGACAGCTTCGTTTCGCACGCCGGGGCCGCAGGGCCGCAGGTTTTCCAGCGGGGGAGGGGGATGAGGCACTAGGGCTGGCTAGGGCTGGTTGGGTTGGGTTGGGTTGGGTTGGGTTGGGTTGGGTTGGGGTGGGTTGGTTGGGTTGTCTGCTGAGGGTGGGCTCTACGCTGGCTTAGATCTTAGTTGCGGGTCTTGGGTTCATTTACGCTCGGCAAAGGACTGAGAGTCTAGTGTCGACTTCTGATGTGGTGAAATGCCCGACCCCAAGGGTAGACCTCCAAACAAGTGGGGTTTCCGGTTGGTGGAAATAACAACTAGGGGTTTTGTAGGGTCTGAGAGTTTCCTCCGCTTTTGGGCTGGTTGAATCCTCAGGCGCCGCCTTCGGCGCCCAGCAGAGCAGTGCCCAAGGCCCACGAAGCTCCGGCGGCGCGCCAGCACTTGGCTTTCGGAAGCTTCCCATTTGGTTCAACGGACTTTTCGGGTCGGCAGATGGGCCTCGCCTCTCTTCTCCCCCCCCCCCATTTTTTTACAAAACAAAAGCGAATGGTTTCAGCTTTGGGATCCGAGTTGCGAAAAGCAAGGGGAGTGGGAGTACCCCACAAGGGAGCTGCCTCTTACGCCGCGAACCTGAAAATGCCACACTTTGCACACTTGGCGAACCGTGCCTTCATCATTTTCAGGCAATGCAGGAAACGATTAAAACCTTCCTGGCCAGCTAGTTCAGAAGGTTGTGCAATGCCCAACATCAATATCAATGCTCCTTCCTCCCTGAGTTCAACAGTGCCCATAGCAGGAAGTATGCGTTCGGCTTTGCTCCCGAATTCACCGCTTTGCGGATCGGAACTTTCGCCGTGGCGGCTGTTGAAGCTGCTCCACGTGCCGAGAGGTACGTGCTTGTGTGATGCAACGGAGAGATGGGAACTTACTTCGGTCCTGGCAAAACGGTTTCCCTTCAAGGTTCGCATAGGTTGGACCCCATCCATAGATTACATTTCTAGTTAGTGAGGGACGTAGGGCACAACCAGAGTTTAGTCCAATGCCTCACAACATGTTGCCCAATCCTGGCACTTCATCCGCTCGTCTCATGCAATTTCTGGGGTAGGGAAATCAAGCCCCCCCCCATTTTTCTTGTTTGCTGTTTTGGGCAGCCCGAAGAAACAGCGTTCATTTATGCAACAACATGTCTTGGGCCAATGTGGTTCTGAGTTTTCTTTGGTTTGGCGTTTCAAAAGGGACAAACATCCTGACCAATCCCGAGGCCTTCCAGTTGGCCTTTCAAAATCACTACTCCCAAGAAGGAGGCTTCTTGTGTTTTCAACCGGGACACATATGGATGTGGCTCAAAATTAAGGAGGGGTTACGCAGGTTTTGGCCGCCACAGACATGCAACCTGAGATCCCCGAAGGGCTCAGCCTGATGGAGTCTTAGACTCCCAGAAAGTTCCCTTTTCGTTCCCAAAAGTGGACCCTGAACTCCAACCTCCTTCTTTTTGGTAGGACAAAGTGCCTTTCTTTTCCAAAGGGAAATGGACAAAAAGGCAAACTCCGAATTGACGATTGTAGGTGAGCCCTTTTCAGGTAGCTGTCTCCTCTCTTACTTCTTCACTTTTGTGGTTTGGGTAGACTCGTCTAGCTCTAGGGGTTGATTCCCAATTCCTTTCCAGCCGTTTCCGCCCCGCGGTTAGTTTGCTTTCGGGTTCACTTGAAACAAGCAAACGGGGGCTCCTAAAGTCAGCACACTCAGATGAACACATTGGGTTCAGAATGTGGAAGTTGCTTTTGGATGGAGTACCCCCAGATGATATCCGTTTTGGGAGTTTGGTTTTGGTTTACCCAACAAAAAGATCACCGGTTGAACTTTGGAACCATCAAAAGGGGAAACGTTTCGGGCCCCCAACGATTGCTCCCCTGCGAATTGGAACCCAAAAAGGGGCCAAGACCAAAGGGACCCACAAACGGGGTCGTTTATTTGGTCACGCGAGCATATAACCTATTTTTCCCTTTTCATTCTCTGGGTGGTTTCTCCTGGCATGCTACCGAAAAGCTGGGTGTGGTTCAATTTTCCAAGCCGCCCGGAGATGAAACCGCAGGTTGTAGTCGTTTCCATGTACCAGGGCAACCCTTTTTAGGGTTCCCCGATTTTTGACGCCCACCGCCTTATCACTCCGCCCCCGCCTTTTTGATCTCAGGTCATGACCGAGAAGCAGCGCATGGCGGCCGCGCTCTTCGGGGGCGTCGGCCCCGGGCAGAGCCAAGCCCCCGCGCCCAAAGCCAGCGAGCCGAAAGCGCCGGCGCGGGAGCTCGGAGTTTGGGGAGGTCCGGGAGGTTTTTCTGAGGGGAGTTGATCAACATGGCGGACCTTTTTTTGGCGGGCTCTTTTTGGGACAACAGGAAACCAACCATGGGGACCATAGGGACCCTATTTTGAGAGACATTCAGATGTTCCTTGTCAAGATTGCAACTTTGGAAAGAGTGCCGTGCAACGAATGCTTTGAAATATTTACGTTTTGAAGACTACATTTGAAAGACTGTTTTTTTTGTAGAAATCATGGGCCATTTCAAGACTACAGGACAGAATCCCAAGCACTCCAGAGCTTTCCAAGAGACGGGGCTCAAAAGCGAGGGCGGGGGAGAGTTGTCAAAGTGGGTCATGGGAACCCGGAAGTACTCCACAAGTTTTCATCCTGTGTTTTTGGTTTTCCTTGAGTCTGGAATCAAAGTAACAGCTTTAAACAGGTTTTGAACCAGTAAGACTTGCGTGGGTCTCCCCTTTGGCGACGCCGCCCAGTTCATGGACCTCTAGAAGAGACACCCCAACACAACCATTCCCTACCTGACAGACCCTGCGAACAGCGAACACCGCCAAACGTTTCCCCCTTTTGGGGCTTGCAGATCGGCTGAGACCGGGGATCGTTAGGCGAAACACCTAAAAGGAGAGTCTTCGTCAGCTCGGCTTCATGAGCGAATCCGATTGAACCAGAAGATACCAGGTGCTTGGAAGATCATGTGCTCAGTTGGAACCAGAGCGGCAAGTTTTCGAAACATATTTACCACAGGAGTGCCACCGGTCCAAGGTCCCGTCAGCTCTCGGATCACTTTTTCCGATTTTCCACTCCAGTTGCAAGTGGCAATGGAGAAAAGCCGGCGGCTCCGACAAGGCCACCAGCCCGGAACTCGAAACCGAAAACCCGAATTCCAAGCCTCGAGGCACAGACGCATCCTCAACTCAATCTAAGCACCAAAATTTACGGCCCCACCCCACCCCACCCCAACTGTTCTAAGCCCCACCCCAAACAAACCCACGCATGTCTCTGGGGTGGGCACTGGCATTGCTGGCGGCTCGGAGGCTCGGCCGAAAGCCGCACCTGCTGCTTGGCTGCAGAGACGGGATGCCCACCCCTCGCGTGTTCTTCCTTCCTTCCTTCCTTCCTTCCTTCCTTCTTTCTTTCTTTCTTTCTTTCTTTCTTTCTTTCTTTCTTTCTGGCTTTCTTGCTTTTTTTTGGTAAATCTTTTACCGCAATGGTTTTCATGTTAGTTGTTTTTTTGTTGTTTTCCCGGTTGTTCTGCTTTTTATGTGGTTGTTGTTTGTCCCCACTCTGTTTTGTTTTTTCCCGCCCCCGTTTCATTTGTTTCTGGGCACGGGGTCAAAGAGGAAGTATGGGAATCAGGGCTGCACCTGTTCGTGGGCACAACATAGAACGGAAGCGACATGCAAATAAAATGCCGCCAGCCTGACAACAGCCTGAGACCGGCGTCACACGTGAACACACGCTAACATGAAGGGTCCATGATTCAAACGTCAAAGTAGAACGCCTTAGGATTTTTAGCATGACTCCACGAAGCAGAATCATGATACCACAACAGCAACAAGGGATCGCCCACTTTCAGCGAGAAAACCAAGCGCCTCCATGCAGGTCTTTGAGACCAAAACGGACCGAAAGTGAGGGGTAAAAGGGGGTCGCCATGTGGTGCGGATCCCTGTTTTGAAGCAGGCACCCTCCAATGAAAAAGGAGCGGGGGAGGGGGGGGTGGTAGTTTTAGTGGCGCTCCGATTTCGGTGGGTTGCCATTGGTTCCTTGGTTCAGCGCACGCAGTAAGCCCAACAAGCAGGGGGTCCCTCCAAACAGAGAAGCCCATTCTTGCGGGCGGTTCTCTTCAGGCAAACTGCCGGAGCACAAATGGCACTTGCCATTTGTGCCATGATTCCCTTGCGGTTGTGGTCGTCCATCTGATAGCAAAGATCCTTCGTAACCATTGTCATAATTCCAATCCAGGAAGCCATCACGAACCAGGCGGAGGAGGTTTGGCCATGGCTGATTTGCTTCAACCCCATTTTGGGAACCCATGTTGCGTCGCGTTGTTCAGGGAAACCTCAGGCACCGGAGGCGCCCGCCTCCGTGGACTTGTTGGACTTCGACGATGGTTTTGCGCAGCCCGTGCCCACGCAGCCTGCGCCGTCCCCGCAGCCGGTGTCGCCGCTACTCGGCTTGCAGAGCCCCACAGGCTCAGGTTTTTTCCAACATAGAAGTAGACACGGGGCCTCCTCTCCTTTGGAGCCAATATTTTTTCAGCTTCCATGATTGGAGAGGGTAAACTTTAGACTTCCACTTGCCTTCAACTAACTTACAACGCACATGGCAAGTCTGCAAATGCCAGCTTGCCCATGGGCGAGGCAAACGTACATGGCTTGCCAAACATGGGCAGGCGAAACGTGGTAAGCAACGCATGGCAAGAAACAAATGGCCGGAGACAAACTCAGCCAACATGGCCTTTAGAGGATGAACAGATTAGTCTTCCAGGAGGCCTCCCAGCAAGCCCAGACTTGCGGCCATGAGAAAACCCCACTCAAACCACTGAAAACCTGTCTTGTTTGGGCTGAAAGGGGTTGGTCTCCCTTAAGTGGTTGTCCAATAGAGATGGGAAATTGGATTGGTCTGGGATTTTGCACTTGACCTCTGTAATTAGCCAACCCTGGTTGATTGGGGGGTGTCCCATAGAGGGAACATAAAGATCACCGGTGTCCTCTTTGTTCGGTTTAGTTGAGAAACGAAGGGCCCTGGCAGACCTACTGGTTTGATCATCTACCATGGCCATGGATTTGTTTCCCCGGATTCACCTCTTGGCCCTAACATCCCCATGTTTTTTAGTTGGTTCAGTCCAGTGCTCGGTTTCCATTTCGCCCACAATTTGAGGAACTTTTCGCCAGGATCCGAAGGAGTTGGATCTAAATTGGGAGACTGTTGGACTGGGAGGCTTGATAGAGACTGGAGAGATTGGGCTGGCCTCATAGGTGTCCTTTTTAGGTGAGCCTTGTCAAAAATAGATGGCACTGCTTTAGATGGGTTTTGTTCCATTTACCAGGGGAACCCATCGATTTTTCCCAAAAGGCCACCTATGGCTAGGCTTGGAGTGGACTCTGCATTGGCACAACGGACAGCCCATTTTGTTTCGAGCGGCGCCAGGCCCGTGGCCTCCGCGTCCCCAAACTTGTTGGACTTCGACGACGGCAGCCCCACGCTCGCGCCGGCGCCCGCGCCCGCGGCGGCAACGCCGGCGGCGGCGGCGGCGGCAGATGACATGCTCCTGCTGGATATGGCCTGAAGCTCAGTCAGGGGTAGGGGAATATATGTATATATATACATGGTACCCCCCCATGGATCTACCCTCCTTGAGAATTCACTGGTATGTGCAGTGTTTTGTGCCTTTTTTTGGACTTTGGGGAACAGCAAGAAAAAGGCGCATGTCCAAAGCCAGTCGGGTTGGATCTACCTCGGTCCTATTCCTAAGCTGAGGCTTTGTCAGAAGATGCAAAAGCACAGCTATGTTGGAGCCATTGGCCCAACAGTGAAAACGTAAAGAAGTAACATTTTAGAGCCAATGACCCCAAAGGAAAAAAAGAAACATATTTCAGTCCATGGTCAAAGGAGCTTTACTTCAGGACCATGGGCTGATTTGTTTTATGTTTTTCCTCTCTCTTTTTTCTTCTACGTTTTGTGTTTTCTTCTTATTTTTCCTGTTTTCTTTCTTTTTTGTTATCTGTTTCTTCTTCTTTTATATATTTTGTTTTTAGCTTTTGTTTCTTTTTTCTTTTTCTTTTTTACCTTTTGTGTTTCTTTAAAAAAAATAAAAAACACTTTTTTTGGTTTAACTTTTTTACTTTTTACTTATTTGCTTTTACTTATTTACATGTTTTTGCATTCTTTTTTTTTGGGGGTCATTGACTCCAGACATTTTACTTTTACTTCTTTACTGTTTTACTTTCGAGTCTCTGGCTCCAGAAATTTGCTTTTTCTTGGGTCATTGGCTCCGCATGCTTTGTTTTTTATTACTTTTTTCTTCTGTATCATTCGCTCCAGAACTTTACGCTTCTACTTTTGGGCTATTGGCTCCATAATTTCGCTTTTGTATTTCGACCTTTCCAAGCAGCCGGCTTGCATCTTCTGACCAGACCTGAGCTTAGAATGGACAAGTTTAGGGTGTAGGGTTTGGGGGTTTATTGACTCACGTTTATAGGAATCGGACTTATTTCTCGTAATTGGTTGTTCAATTGGAAACATGCTTGTTTGCTAAACAAACACGGTTCTTTGTGCCTTTTTGGTGTTTTTTTGCTTGGAATTCAAAGTATTCGATAAGAATTAAACATCAAACAAATCAATTAGAATTCTTGTCTCAAAATAGATTTGAAAGATGCCGTTTAAAAGGGGATCTGTTTCTAGGATTGTGTTTGTTCAATTTTCTCATTAGCATTGACATGGAACTTAATAAGGAACACACCCTAGTAGAGTTTCTCGTTTAAAGATAATTTCAATAGGATTTGCTTCTCGAACTAGATGTGTAGTCAAAGTCTTGTTTGAACCTAGATGTTCAACCGGGTTGATTTGTTGGCATAGCTTCAATCGAATCTAATAGGTACATAATTTTGTTAGAATGTCTAGTTAAAGATAATTTACTTAGTGTGTGTGAACTTTTGTTAACGGTGTTTAATGATTGGACTTCTTAAACTAGATGTTCAAAAGGATGTCTGTTCCATATGATTTCTTATGTTTTCTATTTGGACCTGAAATAGAATTTAAAAGTGAGCAACACCTACTTAAATATAATGTCTAGACTTAAAGATGATTTGACTATAATTTCCATGTTGAAGAACATTGTTAGTTTTGGATTCTTACTTCAAAACATATTTTAAAGAGAACGTCCTTTCCCGGGATATTGTTTCTCAACTTTCTATTTATAATTTAGTTCAATCTAATCAGGAAATTATTATAGTAGAATCTCGAGTTTTGAAGATAATTTAAATAGGAATTCCTTTTCAACGAAAGCACACAATTGGAGTTGTTCTGCCAAATTAGATTTTGAAGAGGATTTCCTTGCTCAGGTGAGCTGGTAGTGGTCAAGTCGCATGGGGCATTCCAAATTGTGATTAGCCATGGTTAATATCATCATCAGGGACGTCGCGTTAGTGACCGACCTGTGGTGTTTTGGCTCAAGTTTTGGGTTCCGTCGCGCCTCGAATGGGCGTCGCCGAACCCCTGCGTCGACCGACGGCATCTCGGGGGAGAAAGAGACCTCGGGTCGCCGCCAGGTTGGTAGGGACCAGTCGTGCGGCCTGTTGTCGACCAAGGTTGCGGGTTAACCCTTTTCTTGTTTGGTTTGTTTTCCTTTGGTTGTTGTTCTCTTGTGTGTGGGAAACCCTGATCTTTGGGACCGGGGATTGGTTTGCTTTTGGGGAACCTTTCTTTTGTGGCTTGTTTACCCCAACTAACCCATTGCCTGGGCACAGGCTCGTGCTCGAATCACAGGTTATCAGCCGTAGGACTTTCCTACGCGCTTGAGACCATCAACTACAAGCTCTATGTCGACCCCACGATCTCGAAGGAGTGTCGTGGATGAGGAGGCCATCCTAGGTGACCTCCGATCAGGTGAGGACCTACCGGACTATGACTACGAGGATTTCGAAGCAGTTTCGACAGGTCAGGATCGCAGGGGTGAAGATCCCGGTAGGGACACACCCAGAAGCCGTGGCAGGTACACCGACGATGGAGACGACCGCATTTTCCGTCAGGCCACCGATGATGAGCAGACACGAAGGGTTCGCTCCGATAGGAGCGGCTCTGAATCAGGTCACAGGCGTGGACAGTTCGACTTCATCAGCATGGCGATGAACATGGCCCGCCCTCATTCGGACGACCCGGAGGCTATGCCGACCCGACCCCCGAGATCTCTTGTTCCGGGTGAGTCTCAGGTATCGGATGAGTTTGAGTACAGGCCGCAAGGACCAGGGACTATGGTTTTGGCTCCGAGAGATATCTCGGGTCGATCCACTGGTTCTCAAAATCCAGGTCAGTTTGATGAGCACGAGGAGCGGAAATTCACAGACTTCGGATACGATGCTCTGTTGAAATCAACCGCAGGTTGGGGCAGTAGCTCAAAGCAGGGATCTGATGCCGGTAGGCCCAACCCTAATACTGCCAAATCTGAGTCTTATGATGGCGAAGATTACAATTTTGCGGATGAGGAGGAGGACCAATCACGCCGAAATGCTAGGATCCGTGATGCTGCGAGGCCCAGGAGTCTCTCTCGTGGAGCCGCCAGGGACCTTCGTGTTGATAGGGACGCCCGAAGCGAGAGAGAGAGAGCTAGGGATAGTCGGGAAGTTCTTCGGGGATTGGAGGCCATCCATGATCATGAGGGACCGATAGGTCCCCCAGCGATTGGTGATACCCCGAATGTTCCCCCTTTTCCCAACATTACCTTTGGAGGTCCGTTGAATCAGAGAGACGTGAACTCGAACCGGGTTACTGGTTCGCCGAGGATTACTGAGCGGGCTGCCGATGTCGTTAGGACAGGTGCCAGCGATGGTCGGCTTGCCGATGCACTCGGAATCGAAGATCGTCCGTCGGTCGCTCGCCCGTTAGGGCGAGATACCAGTGACCTTGAAACTCTGAGGTCTGGCAACGAGTTCACACCTCAATGGGGCTCGACCGCCAGGGAACGTAGTGTTTCTGCAAAGAGGCCGTCACCTCTCGCCATTGAGACCGATAGGTCGAAGGCGAGGAGGGCTAGCCCCTCACCTATGGGCTTGACTCTGCAGGATGAGGAGATGCCCGATCCTGCTGATGTTCACATTCACTCCACCCCCGAGTCTCGTGCATCCAACATTGATCCCCGATCTGGCGATAGCCGAAGAAGGGGATCTACCCCGAGTAGGCAACCCAGGATTGATGATTGTCCTGTAGGCGACCCCAGGAGACATGCCGGGGCTAGTGGGGCTCCTGAGAGGATCGAGATATCGACTCCTCCTGCCCTCAGATCCCAATCTTCCGGCGAATCAGGTGACGCTCGGGCAAAGGAGGTGTTTGATTTGCACATCCAGGAGATGCTTGAGAGGGGTGAGGTTTCTGGCTCAGTCGCGAAGGCGTTCCATACTTTTGCTGACCAAATCAGGTTACTGAACGGTCAGGTGAGTTCCATGCGAAGGGAATGGAGCGACGAGAGTCGACAGACAAAGGACAAGGTCGATCGCCTGGCAGCTGAAATTGCGACTCAATCTGATGCCGGTAGGATGCGAATGATAGTTCAACGGTTTGCTAGGGAAGTTATTCCTGACAGCAAAGCCATTGTGAGGCAAGCCATCGATGAACAGGCTGAAGTCGTGGAGCAGAGGATCAATCTGCTTTCACACGAGGTTCATGAATCTGTTAAGGACAATGAGGCCGCAACTGATCGGCTTCGCCAGATGATTCAAGAGAATCGTGAGGCCGTCCACAGGAGCCATGCTGCTTCCGAGGATGAGATCCTTAAGGACTTGGACAAGCTCGAGGGACGGATGTTCTCGGTAGAGAAAACCGTCGGGATGCGGACGCCAGCAGGTGAATGGAATTTGAATCCTGTCGCGCAACCGCCCGATAGGGCTAGCAGCAGTGGGGTGAACGCGAATTTCAGAGAGTTAAGCCTGAAACTCGAAAAGGCTCTCCTTGAACACGAGAAGTTTGCTAAGTGGGCCTCCGAATCTATTGGTGGCATTAATGAAGAGCAAACCATTCTTGCTAATCGGATGTCGAGGCTGCAGAGTGGAAGGGGGTCACAGGCGATCGATAGATCATCAGGGCCTGTATCCCCGCAGGACTGGCATGAAGCAATTGACGAAGTCATCTATCTCGCGGAGTTCAACGCCACCATGGGGATCATGACGATGTCCTTGCAAGGTTTGAAACCTTGAAGTCCCGTGTTGAGCAGTACGAAGCGAGTTCGGGGATTCTGAATCAAGTTCTTGATGACATCAGAAGACAGATCCGCAGTCTCCCTGCGAATAGTGATCATGCGCGGTCTGCCGTTAGGCGTGAAATTGACTCATTCCGGAGTACGCTTGAGGGCGCTATGCGGAGAATCAGCACTGTCGAGAGTAACATGCGTACTCTTAATGGAATGAACAACAGAATCATGGCTCAGCTCTATGAAATCGAAGGTCATGTCGATGAGGCTGCTGGCATTATTCAGGGTGTCCAGGATAATCAGGCAAACCCTCCACAGCCCAGAGAGAGACGGAACGTTGGATACGACTCGCGGGGCAGGGACACAGAATCAGGTCTCCGACG